CTACCATCTCCTGTTGATGTAATAATTCATCTACAGCCAGCTGTTGATGTAATAGCTCATTTACCACCTGTTGTTGATGATGTGATAGTTCACCTATGACCAGCTGTTGATAGCTCATCGATTAGTTGTTGTGTTTGCTGGTGGCCCCATGCATGGAGAGTAGAACCGCTCCACAGGGTTTTCAAAGCTTTGACTTTTTTGGAAGCAGATCTCCAGGTCTGCCTTAGAGGTGCCTCTGGGGGGATTCGAATCGGTTTGTTTATGTTCTACACGAGTCAGAGTCAACTCGATGGCAGCCACCTTCAGCAACAACACTGTGTACACAACACATTTTCTCTGTGCTCTCTCTCTTTGCCCCCCGACTTTTCTCTGAGATCTAAGTGAACGTGTACGGAGGAAATTGGTTTTCCAGTCAATAATTCGTACACATTTTGTGAAACTGAGGGCAATTTCTACCCACAACACACCAGCATCCCTCATACCTCCTCCCTGTACTTCTCAAACCTCATTTTCCTTCTTTCCTGTCCTCCTGCCTTCTGAGCTTTGAGATAGTGCTGTTGACACAGAGTGACACTGCATAGGTTTCCAAGGAGCATATTCCTGGGCAAATTCTGCGCTCTTGATCTCATATAGTTGATTGCCCTAAGGAATGTGCAAGTCCCTCCTTCACTTTATTGTTGTTAAGCGCCATGGAGTCAGTTCAGACTCATAGTGCCCACCCATATAAGAGTTTCTGAGAAGCAGCTGGTGAGTTTGAACCCCTGACTTTGTGGTTCAAACCAACCTTTGGTCTAGTGTTTATCCTACAACACCCCACCAGGGCTCTTTATTGTTTTTGTTGTTGTTAAGTGTCAATGAGTTGATTCTGACTCATAGCAACCTTATATAGGGTTTCCAAGGAGTGGCTGGTGAATTTGAACCACCAACCTTGCAGTACAAACCGACCTTGCAGTCCAGTACATTATCCCATAGTGCCACACCAGGATCATTTTGCTGGAGTTCTGGTGTGGTGTTTTAGGATAAGCACTGGAATGCAAGGTCAGTTTGAACTGCGAGGTCAGTGATTCAAATGCACCATCTGCTCCTTGGAAACCCTATACAGGATCAATATGAGTCACAACTGACTCCATGGCACTTAACGACAACATTATTTGGCTGAAATTCATCAAAGATGCATTGATCATTACTGGTGATTACAATGCAAGGGTTGGAAACAAAGAGGAAGGATCAGTGGTTGGAAAATATGGCTTTGGTGATAGAAATGATGCTGGAGGTTGCATGATGAATTTTGCAAGACCAATGACATGTGGCAATGATTGTCAGGTTGGCACAGGACTGGGCAGTGTTTTGCTCTGTTATGCATAGGGTTATTATGAGTCAGTACTGATTTGATGACACCTAACAACAACAATGACTTCTTGATTGTAAAAGCCCCCTTTTCAACAACACAGAAGGCTACTGCCTGTGTGGACCTCAACCTCACCAGATGTAGTACACAGAAATCAAATCGACTACATCTGTGGGAAGAGACGGCGAGGTTTACTGTGGAACACACCTTCAACTGCTCATATGCAAGTTCAAGTTGAAGCCGGAGAAAATTAAAACAAGTCCATGAGAGCCAGAATGTGATCTGAATTTCGAGACCATCTCTGTACTATATCTGATGCATCAAACTGACATTGTGGCATCAAGAACATGGGTGATGTTTGCATTGTGAGCGGCAGGTGGGGTCTTGCCCTGACACTCAAGTCTCCCTGGTGGGCACCTTTCCTTTCTAGGGAGCTGTCTGTCCTGCCGGAGTTCAGCATCTGTGGTCTGAGCAGTGCAGGATATAGGGGAGTAATTTTTATGAGGTGCAGAGCAGAGTGGGGACAATGGGAGGACCCCAGACACAACAGAGGGTGCAAGTGGGTTGAGTGTTGGGCTGCTAACCAAAAAGTTGATGGTTCGAGCCCCCCAGCTGCTCCATGGGAAATAGATGTGACTGTTTCTGTAAAGGTGGCAACCTCAGAAATCCTACAGGGTCGCTACGAGTCAGCTCTTACAGCAATGGCTTGGCGACCCTGAGGGGGTTCCGGGGGCAGGGGCAGCAGAGGACAATTCCTTGGTGTGTCCACTGATGTGATGTCCAGGATCTCCAGGCGGGAACCCCCTGAGGGGGTTCCAGGGGCAGCAGAGGACAATTCCTTGGTGTGTCCACTGATGTGATGTCCAGGATCTCCAGGCGGGAAGGGCTGGAATACCTGGACCACATCATTGTGGGTCAAGGGTGAAGACAGAGAAGTTTCTAGAGGTTTTCCACCACAGCACTTGTCTGCGTCCCCCGCCAGCTGTCTTCCTCCCAGGCACTTCTTGGAAACCCAGCCCATTCTTCCCCCAGTTTACATAGGTCCCCTAAAGGACACCTCATCTGGGTTCACCAGACGTCAGGGACCCACCCTGCATGTCCTGGGAGGGGTGCCCCGCTTCCTGGAGAGACTGCCCCAGGCCTGGAATCCCCTCTTTCCGGGATGCCTCTCTGAAGCAGTTCAAAGCTAGACTAGTCATTGGGTTGTGAAATCTTTGCTTTGGGTTGTGGTTGGGGGGTTAGCCGAGGACAAGGGACTCACATGTAGTTGGAGATCCCTGCCCCTTGGGGAGGGGTACTGGGGGCCCTGGAGCAGGAAGTGCTGGGGAGGGGTGGTTTAAACCCAGCAGCTGCTCTGTGGGAGACGGATGTGGCAGTCTGCATCCTTACAGGTTCACAGCCTAGGACCCTGGGGGGCAGGTCTGCTCTGTCCTGCTGTGAGCTGGAAGCTAGTCAATGGCAGGGGGTTTGTTTGGGTTCAACCCTGACACCAGGCTTGGGGAGAAGTGGTCTAGAACCTAAGGACCTGACAGTTGAACCCCGTTTGAACCCTGTTGAGGGGGCCAAACCTCAGGTCTGCTCTTTAAAACTTCTGGAAGCTGAAAAGGAAGGATGGGTGGCCAGGTGGGCTGGAGGCTGCTGGAAGGGTCCCCTCAGATCCCAGAAGCTCAACCCCCAATTCCTTGGTTCAATCTTTGTTTTATCTCAGTAACAAAGTCACAAACAGTGAACCCACTCGGCTGCCATCAAGATTGGTATTCAAGTTCAACCAAAGGCACCTCAGAAGGAAGGCTTGGTGATCTGTTTCTGAAAAACAGCCACTGAAATATCTGTGGGGCACAGCTCTCCCCTGACACACATGGGTGCCCATGAGTCGGGGTCCAATGGCTGCAGCTGGTACTTCAGGTGTGATCCTCCACTCGGGGGCCCAGCAGGCATCACCTTAGTGGAGGTCCCATGTGGGGCTCATGGGTTTCATCAAAGCTCTCTGCTTGGTGGCAGATTTCAGGTCCCTGTGACTCAGAGGTTACACAGCTTGACCAGAGCCGTGCCTGCATGGTACGCGGGGGTCCTGCAGTGTTAGTAGGAACCAGGCAGCCGTTGGCTGGGGTCTAGGGCAGTGCAGAGCCCTCTGCTTCTCACGCCTTTCACAACCTCACTTAGAGGCTCAGAGGATTCAACGCTCTTGTCCCAGATCCCTAAGCTTGTGTGTGGTGGGCTGGGGGTTGGACCTGGGAGTTTGACTATTGTGCACCCCCCCTCCTACTGCCTGAAAGGACTGGGTCCCAGGACTTCAGTCTATAGTGGGGTCCCGGTGGGAGTGGGGAGAAGTGTCCACACACCAGGCAGGAGGGACAACAGCTCACCAAGTGGTCAGGGAGGGCACAGATGCCCAAGGCTGATGCCACTGTAGGACCGGGTCCCAGTGACCACAGACCAGCTGTCCTTGGTCATTGGGCGCCTTCCCTCTCCCTACTTCGAACTCCGCCCACAAAGACAGTGTTGCTTGGGCTGGCTCTTCACCAATGAAGTGTTCTGTCAGAACAGCTCTCTGCTGCCCCTTGGTGGTGTGAGGCAGGCCTGCAGGGACTTCCCCAGTGCCCAGGACCAGAGGTTAAAAGGAGGAAGACGACCCAGGCCCCTCAACTAGACCCACTCGGCTCTATGACTCCCTCCCCTCAAGGTGGAGCACCAGGTCCTGGCCGGAGACCCATCTGTTTCCCCATCTGTTCAATGAGGGGCTTGAGGGACGGGGTGGGCAGCAAAGCGTTTCCATTTGGAAGCAGAGACAGGTACTGCCTGTTAACCCTGGTGAAATGACCAGTGCTATATTACAACGACAAATGCATGTGAGGTTCAGGTCCTCAGGAGCTCTGGTGGCACAGTGGGCTAAGCACTGGATGCTAACAGAAGAGTTGCTGGTTTGAACCCAGTCTACCCCAGTAAAGACTGACAGGCTTGGAAACCCTAAGGAGAAGTTCTACGCTTGCTGTCCCTAGGGCCGCTATAAGTTGGAATCCACTCAATGGAATTGGGTCTCATTTTTGTTTTTACCTTATTGAGGAAAAAAGCACACTAAAAGAGGGGGTGGATGGGACTTCCCTGGGGTACACACAGCTTCTCCGAGCGTCACTACCCCTATCTGTCAAGTGGGGAGTCAGTCTTCCCCAAAGCTTAGCAGCTCGGAAGGGAGGTCTGGACCCTGGGCTGTGGGTAGTTGGGCTGAGTGAGGTGGGGCAGAGACCCCATACAGGGGGAACCAGAGGCTGGATGTCGGACTGGCCCAAGGACACTCAGGTGAGGGGTAGGGGCCCCTCTTCTTCCATCAAGCAGGGTGCAAACAGTTAACTGCTCAACATTCCCTTCCTCCCCTGTACTGCTGTGTGACCTCAGGCAAGACCACTAACCTCTCTGTGCCTCTGTCCTTCAACCATAAGCAGGGTGGTAACAGAAGGACCCCGAGGGACAAGTGGCTCCTTGCTGGCCATGATGTTTCAGGACCATGATGTTTGTCGTTTGTGTCCAGGGATGGAGGCAAACCGTGAGATGACACAGGCAAATGTGTGTGGAAAACATTTACTACAACTAGGCTTCTCATGTGCCTTGGCCTCCCAGAATGTGGGACCCCTGCCCAGAGCCCACTCTGGGCCCCTCAGGGTGGTGAGCGGGGAGCCAGCCAGGCCAGATGCTGGTAGTACCGATCAGCAGCCAAGTTGACCCTTCGGACATTGAGCTCAGAGGCGAAGGTCCTGGCCTTCTGGTAGAAGAACAGCGACTTCTCGCGGTCCACGAGGAAGTTGTGGTAGATGGTGGCCAGACGTGTGTAGATCTTCAGCTGGGCCTTCTTGTTACCCAGGTCCACGGCTGCAGCCAGGGCCAGCTGATAGTACCCCGCGGCATCAAATGGGTCCTGCAAGGGGAGATCCACTAGGTGGATGGGGGTACACCTAGTAATGTCCCCTCCCTGGGATAATGGTCCCCTCTCCTTTGCTCGCTCTTCCTCCATTGGCTGTGCATGGCCAGTGTAGGAGACCAGCCCCCTGCCCACCACCGTCCCTGCTTCTCAAGCCAGGTCACTGCCAACTGGGAACTGAGCTATAGGCCCAGAGTGAGGGTGAGCTCCGACCCCACTCACTTTCAGGTCATAGAAGATGATGTCACCGAGCGCTAGGTACACCTTCACGTAGTAGAGCGTCTCCTCATCGAACTCCAGTGGCGAGCTGCACAGTGACAGGGCTTTCAGGTAGAAATGTTCGGCCAGCTCCCCATGGCCCAGCCGGTGGTGCAGGGCAGCCAGCCGGTGGTAGGTCACGCGCTCGTTTAGCCGGTCCCCTGCACACAAGGGGGGACATTGTGGTCATCTCTGACCTGCCTGTCCTCATCCCCAGGTGGCCTTGGGGAAGGGGTAGTGGCAAAGCCACCTGGGTCACTAGGAAGCCCCTGTGGGCATCGTGTGTGATCATGTCTCCTGGGATCCATCAGCCTGGTTTCTGCGGATGTGGTGTTGGCCTGTCCCCCAGTCAATGTCAGCAAATCTGCCCCCTTCTCGTCCTTGCACCCCCAGCCCTCCCCAGGTAGACTGGTAAGCACCTGTGGTACCAAGCGCCACAGACCTCCCAGTCTCAGGGTGCAGGGCAGGGAGGCACCTGGCCCCAGTCTTGGGATACAGTGTAGTTGTGTACTGGGGTAGAAGAGCGTCTGGTTCATCTCAGGCTGAAGTGTGACTGGGTCCTGGTTCATCTTGGGGTACAGTGTGGCTGGGTGCTGGGACAGGGAGTGTCTAGGCATGGAGGGACTACCTGGCCAAGGCCAAGGGTGGGAAGGTCACTGCAGTGAGCACACGGTGGGACTGCCCCAGGGACAGGAATGAGTTGGGGAGGGGTAGGCAGGGTTGGTGGGGCTCACCCAGGGCGATGCTGAGCGCCAGCGCCACATGCGCGAACTCCAGTCCCTCCTGGGGCAACTCCAGTGCAGCGAGCAGCGCCACCAGCTTGTTGCACAGACGGAGCTCCGCCTCCTTGTTCCCTGTGGCCATGGCCAGTGGCAGTGCCCGGTCCTGCCCACACAGGCGAGGTCAGGCCTCCTCCTCAGAGCCCACCCCCTCCACAGCTGACCCATTTCACAGATGGAGAAAAACTGAGGCCCAGAGAGTAAAGGTATGTCAAAGGGTCCCAGCCCTGGGAGTTGGGGACCCTCCCACCTAACCTCAGACCTGTGGCCCCATCTGAACCCCAGGGCTCCAACCTGAGTGTCCTGTCTGTCTGTGCCCAGGGCTGTGGGACTCTGGAACCACACACCATGGGCTGCAGGGTGGGGTGGGTCAAGTCCCTAGCCCCCAGAGGAGCACATGGGCCATAGGGGCCTCGTCCTGGTTCTCCGTGCCCTTGCCTCTGTCAGCCTCAGTTTCCCCATCTGTGAAGGGGGCAGGCTTTGCTGCGGGGCTGTTTGGACCCCTAACCCTCCCACACTCAGTCCCTGCTTCTGGAACAATGCACACAATATCCAGGCTCTGGGTGTGAACGTGGGGTGCACCAACTCCCCTGAGCTTGCCACTGCCCCCACACCCCAAGGGCCCATTGTGCACCCCTCACCCGGTAGAAGGACACAGCCTTCTCCCGCTCCTGGCTCCCGTTGAAGAAGATGTCCCCGGCCGCCTCAAACAGCTCCAGACCCAGCTGGGGGTCCCCGGTGTACAAGGCTGCATTCTGTGCCACCTGGGGGCCCACAGAAAATGTGTGAGATGCGGACCCTCCACCCAGAAGTCCCCTGATGCCCACCGAGGGGGCCTCCCAGCTGCCCTCAGGACCAATCCCAGAAGGCGCAGGCCTTTGGTGCCCAGAGATACATGTTCAAATCCAACCCTGGAACCTGTTTGAAAACGGGGTCTTTGCAGACGCCATCTGCTACATGGATCCTAATCCTGTCTGAACTGTGTCTTTGCAAACGAGAAGAAGAGACATAGAGAGAGGGGGTCTTGTGAAGACTAAGAGAGATTGAGGGGATGCAGCCATCAGCCCGGGAAGGCCTGGGGCTGCCGGAAGAACCGGCCCCTCACTTAGAGCCCTGCCCACACCTTGATTTCAGATCTGTGTCTTTACAGGTGTAGGTAACTTCACATGCAGTTACCCTGAAGCAAGGTGAGTCCTACCTGAGTCTCCTAAGGAAAGAAGGGATCAGAGATAGGCCTGGGGGCAGACATTGAAGTGATGTGGCCACAAACCGGGGAATGTCTGTGACCACCAGAGCTGGGAGAGACAGGGAAGGACCCACCCTGCTGAAACTCTGACTCGTGCTCCAAACCCCCAGAGCTGAGAGCATATCTACATCTGCCTGTTTGGATCCCTGGGTACGTCCGGAGTTTCTGGGGAACACCGGCCTTTCTCCTCACAGCCTCCTCGGACTGACCTGTGTTCCTTTCAGTCCCTGTACAACTGGGGCAGTGAATTCTGATCATACCCGGGTACTGATAAACATGGACACTGAGCCACACACACAAGTCAGTATAGCAAAGCCCCGGGCCCCTGCAGGGGTGGGCGGAAGTGGGGCTGGGCACAGAGCTCAGCATTATGTTTGTGTCCACTCAGTGTCCATCACAGCCTTCCCCACAGCTCCTCTAGGTCCCCCCCCCCCAAGCCTCCCCGTGTCCCTGCAGCCCTATCAGAGTGTGAAATGGCATGTCCCCAATGTCCCTGCATGTCTCTCTTTCTAGAATGTTTAGCCCCACAGGGAGGTCAGCTAAGGCTTGTCTGCTGTGTCCCAAAGTCACCTGGTGTCTCATGTCACAGAAGCAAGGCATACATTCCTGGAGTGGACCATTGGGTACTGGCCCCATCCAAAATCTAGCCAGGCATGATTGCAGCTTCTGGAATGTTCCAGAACCTTGCTCACTGCTAAGTCTTTCTTCTGAGAATCCTACTTCTAGCCTCTCCTATTCCCACCAACTAGACACATGCTCCCTACACACCGTGCGACTCAAAGTTGCCTCTGTGACCCCCCGGGCAGACAGCAGCCACTCTCCAACTCCTGTTGTTGTTGTTAGGTGCCATTGAGTCAGTACTGACCCATAGTGACCTTATGCACAGCAGAACGAAACACGGCCCGATCCTGGGCCAACCTCACTACTGTTGCCACACTTGAGCCCATCGATGCTGCCACTTGGCCAATCCATCTCCTTGGGGGTCTTCCTCTTTTTCTCTGACCTTCCACCTTACCAAACATGATATCCTTCTCCAGTGACTGGTTCCTCCTGACAACATGTCTGAAGTATGAGAGACAAAGTTTGGCCATCTTGGCCTCCAAGGAACACTCTGGCTGCACTTCTTCCAACACAGATCTGTTGGTTCTTTTGGCAGCCCATGGCACTTTCAGTATTCTCCTCCAACACCATAACTCAAAGGCATCAATTCTTCTACGGTCTTCCTTATACACTGTCCAGCTTTCGCATGCATATGAGGTTATTGAAAATACCTTGGCTTGGGTCAGGCGCACCTTAGTCCTCAAGCTGACATCTTTGCTCTCACCTCCTGAGATGTTGTCATATCCCTACCTTGTCCAGGAGCCCTGAGTCAGGGCTGCTAATGGATTAGGCAGTTTTTCCTCTCATAACTTTCAGCCCCTGGCCTGAGGGAGATACACCGCAGGTGGAAAAGCCCACAGGCCTATGGGACTCTGAAATTGTTTCGAATCATATTGTGTGTATTATTATTTATTGTTAAGTGCTATTGAGCAGGATTTCCAAGGAACAGCTGGTGGGTTGGAACCACCAACCTTGCAGTCCAGTCCAGTCCAGTGCTGACCCTACAATGCCACACTAGGACCAAAAAAACCCAACCCCAATACCCTACTGTCATCGAGTTGATTCAGGTCCACAGCAAGTCCATAGGACAGATCAGAACTGTCCCAATGGGTCTCTAAGACGTCTCTTTATGGAAGTGGATGGTCACATCTTTCTCCCATGGAGCAGCTGGTGGGTTCGACAGCCAACCTTTCAGTAAGCAGTGGAGTGCTTAACCACCGCACCACCATGGCTTCAGTTGTGTTCGAGAGAGTGTCATCCAACAGCAGCTCCCATGCTCAGTGTATTTTGATAGCTCATTTCAGGTATCCTGGCTGCTTAGAGAAACACCTGTGCTTATCATTTGCTAAACCCTGTACCCTCCTTCGTGATGGTGGGTCTGATCCAATCAGTTGGAGGCTGTTTCCTAAGACAGAAGTCTTCGGACTTCAGACAGTTCCATAGATCTCCTGCCGGAGCCTCCACCCCATCATCTCCTGACTATGAGTTCGGGCCCTGTCAGCCCCACAATCTCATGAGGTAATATCTTAAAGTAACTCCACATATTAAGTAGAGCTCTGGTGGCTCTGTGGGATAAGCACTGGACTGTGAACCACAAGGTCAGTGGTTAAAGCCCACCAGCTACTCCGTGGGAGAAAGATGAGGTTTTTTGCTCCTTTAAAGATTTCTAGCCTTAGAAACCCTATGCAGTTAGGAGTTGAAATCAACTCAATAACACTTAACAACAAATACACATACATACATTGTTATAGATTAAACTGCTGTCATTGTTAAGGGCCATCAAGTCCCTTAACAATGTGTAGGGTTCCCCAGGAGTGGCTGGTGAATTGGAACCACTGACCTTGTGGTTCAGCCTGACCTTGCAGTCCAGTGCCTACCCTACATAGCCACACCAGGACCGTTTGGATTGGATTATGTCCCCCTAAAGAACCAACGGATCCGTGTGGGAAGGAGTGCAGCCAGAGCGCCCCCTGGAGGCTAGGATGACCAAACTTCGTCTCTCATACTTCAGACATACTGTCAGGAGGGACCAGTCACTGGAGAAGGATATCATGTTTGGTAAGGTGGAGGATCAGAGGAAAAAAGGAAGACCCCCAACGAGATGGATTGGTCAAGTAGCAGCATCGATGGACTCAAGCGTGGCAACAGTAGTGAGGTTGGCCCAGGATCGGGCAATGTTTCGTTCTGCTGTGCATAAGGTCGCTATGAGTTGGTATGGACTCGATGGCACCTAACAACAACAACAACAAAACATGGATCATCTTGGCTGGCCCATGATTCTCTCTGGCTTGGCAGGTATGTGATGATGTCATTTGGCAGTTATGTGATGATGTCATAATTCTCCCATGATGAGACCCATGTGATCAGACAGTCAGGGGTGAGAGGATGAGGGTGGAGGCAAGACCCTTACTCATGTCACAGCTCTTCTCCCACGTCAGGGGAGTCTCCCGGGGAGTGGTCTGCATCCCCTTTCACCTCGCAAGAGATACAAGGAGAGAGAAGGGAGCCACAGCACCACTGAGAAAGAAGGGCTGGGAGCAGAGCGCAGCCTCTGGACCCGGGATCCCTGCACTGAGGACCTTCCAGACCCAGGGGTAGATTGATGGCAAGGCACAGGGAACTCTCTGAGGGATGGCAGACCTACAGTTGTTGAAAGGAGCAAAGGCCTTCCCCCAGAGCTGACACACGGAGAGAAAGCCTTCCCTACAGCTAATGACCTGAATTCAGACACCAGCCTCCTAAACTATAAGAAAATCCATTTCTGATTGTCAAAGCCCTCTCCTTGTAGTATTTCTTTATAGCAGCACTCTATAATACATATGGGATTAAAAGATAATGGACCCCCTTCCAAAACTAAGACTCAAGGGGAATATACGAGCAGGCATGTGGTCTGACTGGTGACCACGTTTGTCACCGATAAGGGGAAGTGAGGGAAAAATAGCAATGAAACTGCGAGCTAAGTCCTACAATGTTCAATAGACTCCTGTGAACCAGGGTGGAGACTTGCTTGGCCAGCAGTGTGGCAAGACCTGGGGACTCTTGGACCCAGAGTAAGTGACATAGCCACAGAGCACTGGAATGGAAAGTGAAGCGTCCAGCTGATAAGAAGAGAGGGTATATGCACAAGAACACCCACACTTGCAGATAATACCCACTTGACCTGGCTTCAATGACTGGATGATCAGAGCTCAACTAGATGAAGAGGGAAAAAAAAGTAATCTGATACAGTTTGATGAACTTGACCTATGGATGCAGTAGCTCAAAAGAGGAAACAAATCTTTACAGCGAGGATCATTCTCATCCCCTCGATACACAGGGTCAGCAAGGATGGTCAACTTGGACATTGGCTACCCCAAATATGGGGGTTACAGAGGCAAGAAGTGACTGGCTTACAAGGTTTCAAGAGGGAGCCTAGATCCAGAGGGTGCGGAGGAAGGTAGAATCTCCACTGAGTAGTATTCAATCTGTCTGGGCGGGGCTGATGAAAGGAGATGCGGATAGGTCTCTCATGGTACAATAGTGAATAATTGTTATCAGGAGTGACTGTGAGGGTTGGAAATGTAAAGGTAGACATTTTGTAGCAAAAGGAGGGGAGTGGTTGACTTTGCAGTCTAGGAGCGGAGGTCCCTGGGATCATCAAGGGAGAAGAGTGGAGAGCGGGACCCTACCCAGAGA